AGATTAAAATAATATTTATTCCTTCCCCAATTTTGGAATATAGTGAAGCAGCTGCACCAATTTCATGGAGTACAGGGGTTATGGAGAGGACCTACATGCTCAATGCACCTTTGGGTTCCCTTGTGTAGTAAAATGACAGCAGTTGCTCTGCACTGATGATTTGGGAAATCGGCTTATGAATTCTGCTTGATATTGGAAACTTAGTGTGTATTTATGTTAGAGAGCAGGTTCCAACTCGAATATGGGTTTATTTTGCTTTGTTATCCTTTACCTCCATGTTCCACTAAAATCCAAGAGGCATAGGGCTAACAATACAAAGCAATTAACTTGAGATGGAACAGCTTCTAAACTACAGGCTGGCTTCATAGTTTCATAGTGCTTAGGGTCAGAAGGGACCTAAACAGATCATTGGGTCCGACCTCCTGCCCCGGGCAGGAACGAGTGCTGGGGCCATATCTGTCCAGCCTCCTCTTGAAGATCCCCAAGGTAGGAGAGAGGACCACCTCCCTTCAGAGTCCATTCCAGAGCCTGGCAGCCCTAACTGTAGTGTTAGGATGACTGTATTTGGATCTTGGGGAGCACTGAATTTGCAGCTGAATAAAAAGGCAATAGCCAGTGGCCTAGCACAGCTACTAACCACAAGGCAGAATGGTATATTAAAAGTAACATTGCAAGACGCTTAGGCAAGCATTTTCCTAACCATATAAGTAGTGTTCCAAGATATATAGCTCATTGCGTGAAAGAAACAGGATGCAAACCACCAGCTATCATTAGAAGATAAAGCAGATTTTGCTTATGAATTCTTATGCTAAGCCAGCAATTTGATTATGCTAAGTAACCATCTTAACTGTGTCAACCATTTTCAAGCAAGTCTTTGTAAGACTGTGTGCTGTGAATGAGGTGAAGGCTTAGGAATGTGGAGATGGTACAACAGGGGACTGAAAAACAGACTGGAATGTGAAAGACAACACGTAAATGGTAACACAATCCGAGATAAACATATGCAAAAAGGTGAATGGTGATTGGTAAAGAACCCTCCAGAAGCTTCCAGGCTTTAGTCGAAGTCCGCCCATGAGACCAAAGAAGTGAGGTCAAGATCTTAGACATGCGCTCATAGCAAAAAGACAAGTGAAATACATAGGTGATTCCATGCTAATGAAACAAACAGTAAACAGAGGTGGAGCTTAAATGGGAAGGACTAAGTTTTTCATGAAGAAATGTTTTCTGGCACTGAGTGACTGTCCTTCAGTCACGACCAGCCTTAAGCATGTTTCCATTAAATTATGGTTTTCAGAGACAGAAGAGCCATAACTTGTGAAATAAGAAAGTGATTTTGGACCATGTAAATCCTCAGAGAGGCTTCAACGATTTAGAGGACTACAGAAATTCCTGTTTTCTTCTGGACATTATATGTATGAAAGGGACTAATTTCTCTCCCTTTGCAGATGAATTACTTGCTGGTTTCTTGTTCGGTGATCAGGTAAGGTAATCTAATGTAAGCTGGTGGGCTGGCAAAAAGCCTAGAATGAAAGAGCCACTACACTGCTAAGTGGTGCTTTTTTGACAGGAGTATGATGATATAGTTTAAAAATGCAACCATCCTGAGTACTTGCTCCCTTTTGTGGCTGTTTCTTGGCTGGGCTTTATTATAGTTTATGGGCCAAGCTCCCAAACTGAGGATACCCTTCTTGAAAAGAAAAGCACAGTATTGCTAAGGGGACAAATCCATGTGTTGTATGGCTCCAGCATGGCTACTGTGGCATATCAGAGAAGGGGAGAAATAGATATGGCCACCAGGTCTTTCAGACAATTTGGTCCCTGGGGCTTTGTGTTCTGTGATTCTAGTTGTTAAGGTCCTGACATGTCCTCTTTCCTTCTCCCTGTCACAGAAGAGATGTACTGCAAACATCTATAGTCTATACCGAAATACACATTCTTCTTGTGTGCTCATCACTGGCTGGCTGCTTGCCCAGCAGATGCATAGATTTTCAGTCTGATAATCCTGGACAGTTTTGGTTATCTGGCAATGGCCTGATAAAGTATGCATTCTGAAATATTTTATTCCTTCCTTATACACTGGGCTATTTCATAGGATTGAAGCCACTTCCTTAAGCCTGAGTCTATGAAAATGACCAAGATCCAAAACAGAGCAGTTTCTGCCCTTTTTAATTTTTCAGTCTTTTGTCAGAGACCTGCTGAGCAGCCTGAATAGGTGATTTGATTGCTAGGCAACCTTTCCCCTAATAAAACACTTTTCCTAGATATAAGTCTAGGTCAGCCTGGAGGAATATGGGCAGTGGAGTCCCCCAGGGCTCGGTCCCGGGGCCTGTACTGTTCAACATCTTTATCAGCGATCTGTATGTGGGTGTGCAAAGTATGCTGTCCAAATTCACTGACGACACCAAGATGTGGGGTAAGGTGGGCATTCTGGAAGGGAGGGCCAGAATCCAGCCAGATCTAGACAGGTTACAGAGGTAGGCGGATGAGACTAGGATGCAATTCAACACAGACAAGTGCAGGGTACTGCATCTAGGGAGAAGGAACCAGCATCACACCTATAGGCTGGGGAACACACCACTTGTCAAAACAGTGGCACAAAGGGATCTTGGAGTCATTGTTGACTCCAGGATGAACAGATATGTGGGGAGCTGGAGGAAAAGCAAGGGCAACATTGGACCCCTGCTAAACCAGATGGGACATCGGACAACTGACGCCCAGGAAAAAGCCAACTTATTAAATGGGTACTTTGCGTCAGTCTTTCATCAGTCCCATGGGATGCCCATGCCCACTATGGGACAAGGAGGTCCAGGTGAGGAAGATCCCCTGCCCTCCATCAATGCTGACCTCATGAAGGAAACACCTTGAGAGGCTGGATACCTTCAAGTTGGCTGGCCCTGACAATCTACACCCCAGGGTACTCAAGGAGCTGGCGAGCATCATAGCACAGCCCCTGGCACGGATCTTTGAGAATTCCTGGCGCTCCGGTGTAGTGCCCGAAGACTAGAAGAAGGCCAACGTGGTGCCTATCTTCAAGAAAGGGAGGAAAGTGGATATGGCAAACTACAGGTCCATCAGCCTGACCTCTATCCCAGGGAAGGTCTAAGAAATGTTCATTAAAGAAGCCATTCTTAACGGACTGGCCAACACCACCAACATCCTGAAGGATAGCCAGCATGGGTTTGTTGTGGGTAGGTCTTGCTTGACCAATCTCATTTCCTTTTACAACCAGGTGACCTATCACCTGGACAAGGGGGAAGAGATTGATGTCATATATCTTGACTTCAAAAAAGCCTTCCATCTGGTATCCCATGATCACCTCTTGGCAAAACTGGCTAACTGCGGCCTCAACCTCACCATGATCCACTGGCTGGAGAATTGGCTCTGCGGTAGGACCCAGAGGGTGGTGGTTGACGGAAGTCAATCGTTGTGCTGTGCGGTGACCAGTGGGGTCCCTCAAGGCTTTGTCCCAGGGCCTATACTTTTTAACATCTTCATCAATGATGTAGACATTGGTGTCAGAAGCGGGCTGGCCAAGTTTGCCGACGACACCAAACTCTGGGGTAAAGCATTCACACCTGAGGATAGAAGGGTGATCCAGGCAGATCTTGACAGGCTCATGAAATGGGCAGATGAGAACCTGATAGTGTTTAACACTGAAAAAATGCAAGGTTCTCCACCTTGAGAGGAAAAACCTGCAGCATCCTTGTAGGCTCGGCAGTGCTACGCTCGCTAGCACGATGGAAGAACGAGACTTGGGGGTCATCGTTGACTACAAGATGAACATGAGCCTTCAACGCGATGCTGCAGCTAGTAAAGCGACCAAAACGCTGGCTTGCATCCATAGATGCTTTTCAAGCAAATCCCAGGATGTCATTCTCCCCTTGTACTCAGTCTTGTTGAGACCGCAGCTCAAGTACTGCGTCCAGTTTTGGGCTCCACAATTCAAAAAGGATGTGGAGAAGCTTGAGAGAGTCCAGAGAAGAGCCACGGGCATGATCAGCGGTCATGACAGACTGCGACCAAAACGCTGGCTTGCATCCATAGATGCTTTTCAAGCAAATCCCAGGATGTCATTCTCCCCTTGTACTCAGTCTTGTTGAGACCGCAGCTCAAGTACTGCGTCCAGTTTTGGGCTCCACAATTCAAAAAGGATGTGGAGAAGCTTGAGAGAGTCCAGAGAAGAGCCACGGGCATGATCAGCGGTCATGACAGACTGAGAGTTATGGGGTCTTTAGCCTGGAAAAGCGCAGGCTCAGGGGGGATCAGATGGCCACATATAAGCTTATCAGAAGTGACCACCAGTATCTGGGGGAACATTTGTTCACCAGAGCGCCCCAAGGGATGACGAGGTCGAACGGTTATAAACTACTACAAGACCATTTCAGGCTGGCCAAAAGGAAGAATTTCTTTACTGTCCGAGCCCCCAAGGTCTGAAATAGCCTACCATTGGAGGCGGTTCAAGCACCTACATTGAACACCTTCAAGAGAAATTTGGATGCTTATCTTGCTGGGATCCTATGACCCCAGCTGACTTCCTGCCCCTCGGGAGGGGCCTGGACTCAATCTTTCAAGATCCCTTCCAGCCCTAATGTCTACGAAATCAATGAACTCCTATGACGTTTACTCTGCCATCACAAAAAGGGTACATCCAAAAAGCATGTTTGGAGGTAGAAGTATTTTTAGCCTTTGTAACATGACTAGGGATGCAGAGTAGAATACTTTTTCATTGCAGACATGAATCTCTAAAAGTGAAGTTACAAAGCCTGTAAAGCTAGCAATTAGTACTGAGAGATTCTAAATAGTACTCTGCAACTGACACATGATCCAGATTTTTTTTCTTCTTTTATGAAATGCTTCTATGACATTTCTTTTAGTTAGTAGTCATAGAAAGACAGTTTGAATAGAATGTAATACTGAACCAAAAAAAAAAAAAAAAAGACTGTATTGCTTTCAAGAAGCATTTACAAGTATTACTGAAAGTAATGCATATTTTAACAGAAAATAAAATGGGAGTAGAATACATCAGTAGTTGTATATTTTAAAACATTCACAGTGTCCTGGATGTGTCAATAAAAAATGGAACGTGACGGTCCATCCACTGAAATGCTTGTAATCAAAAAAATTTCACATAATACAAAAAATAAAATAAAATAAGAGGATATAAGGAGGAAAGGGAGACAAATAGTATAAATAGTATGTGGTAATGCTACAAAGAGTAGCGGACTGCATAATTCAAAATTAATATTCTCATCTCTGCTTCCTTACTACGTGCTCAGATATTACTGTAATGGAAACCAATGAAATACCTAGGTGAGCAGAGAGATAACCAACTACAGATTTTACCAACCTTTTCCAGCATGCTTCAGGTCTTGCCATTTTACCAGTTACCATCATTAGGGCCTAACCTTGCAATCTTTGCTCAGAATAGCCGTTGCCCCTATGGGTAACTTCCACTGAAGAATATCCATTAGGAAAAGTAGCTGGACAAGACTCCTCCCCCTTCTTCTTCCTCCCACTGTTACACATTTCATTTATTTTGTTGACTGAAGGTTAGCCCATGACGTTGTAGGCCTGTGGTGCTCAAATCTCTGATCCTGTAGACCAGTGCATTTTGGTGCAGAGTCATTTTCCAGCCTGCAGGGCTCCTTGTGGGTCTGGAAATTTGGCAGCAGGGAAGCGGTGGCAGTGTTAAGTGCCATGGCTCTGGAAAAACAAGCCAATCAAATCTGCCACTGCTTCCCCTTGCCACCAAATTTCTAGATGCATGAGGAGCCTCACAGGCTGAATGACACAACTCCATGGCCTGCATTCAGCCCATGGGCCCTGAGTTTGAGCACCACTACTATAGGCTATTTTGGCTAAGTATAGAAAAAAAACGGTCTGCAAACAACTAACTGTCAATTCTGGGACATTAAATAAATTCAAGGCATTTGCACTGTTTTGAAGGCTTTTATATTTGAAATACAAAGTTAGTTTTAATATATACAAAAGTAGGTGAAAATTCATTTGTTTGCATTAAAATACAGTACAACCTTGTTATAAAACAAGCCTTATTTATAACAAATCCCATTTTTAGCCAGACCAATAGTAGGAACCGACATTCTTATTATGATGATGCATCCAATTAAATACATTTAGGCAAACACCATTTTTAAGGCACTTTTCTCCAGCACCACTAGAGTTTGTTATAATGAGGTTGCACTGTGCTTTGACAAGAAAAATACACAAGGTGATTTCTCAGAAGGCATTCAAGAGTCAAAGCCTGCTCCCACTGATGTCAATGGGAGTTTTGTCACTGACTTTTATACAGGCAGATTCCAGGTGTTACCATATTTCCAGGTTTCACTATATTCTATACTTGTAAATGATAAAGTATCATTGGGCTCAATCCTTCACCCTAGCTTCAATGCATATCTCCAGAACCATCAGGAGTACAGCTATATGGTCTAAAGCAGCACCACGGAAACTTATTTTTCTTCACTTTACTTCATTTTTATTTTAGTATGAACGTTAACCAGAACCAGAAGGAACATAGCTACGTTACTGAGACTTACCAAGAGAGCTTATTAGTTCACGTGCACATGAAATCTCTCTGCACAGCATTTCCTTGCTCTGTGTGCACATACCATGGAACTGCTTGCATAAGTCAGGGCCTGAAAACAGGGTCCTAAGTATGCCTGAGGACTGTAGAATGCTGAATGCATGATATAAAAAAAAAAAAAAAACAGGATTTGTGGGGGAGTGATACCATTTATTGGACCAACTGTATAGTTGGGATAAAGTTAGACAAGCTTTCAAATGCAAAGAATTCTTTAAAAGTGTTTTCTTTATGCTCACATCTCAGTCAAATACAATAACCATTTTTAAAAACCTAAAAAGAGAGAGCATGATTTATGATTTAAAAAAATAGAAACTGATTTAAGTTACCATTGTATGGCCCAGTAAAGTGCAAGAATAAATGTAGGATTGTAATTTGAAAGTTTTTTTTCTCCTTTTGCTTTACTATCAGCTACTGAGAGAAGTTCTTGGCTACTCAAATGTGACCAGCAAATTAACAGAAATGCCAATCACACACAATGTTTGATCTCAATACATTTTTCGTTACATAGATTATGTTCTTGTTCAGCATTTCAACATTAAGACTTCAAAATAAAATTTGAGAGAGCAGACCAAGACATGTGCTAAGAAATGACTGAGCTAGGAAATAAAATAAATGACTGAGCTAGGAAATAAAATATTAAGATACAGCATTTTTAATTTATTATTTCCATGTGGTTTCTAGGAACCATTTTGACACAAAGCACCATGCTAATTATTTAAAAAAGGATAGAGGTAACAAAATGATATATCATAGGCTTACAGTGCACATGATGGTGAGGTCAATATTTACTGATTGGTGTAGTAAATACTCTCAAAAGGGCAAGTTTAAAGACTAATCTAATTTGAAGCAGAACAGCACAGAACTAGTTACAGCACTGATGTCAAGACTTCTTTAAAAAAAAATTCTTCTTTACGCAACCCTGTTAAGAAAACCAACCATTCAGAAGGGGCAGGCACGCTTATATCACAATGTCTGATTTTCATTCCATTAAAACTCTACATATCTCCTGTTCTGAAAGAAACTAGAAGCCTTATTTCAGTTTTAAACTAATTCACAGGGTGAAGACAGAAAACCTTTCAATTATGACATGACTGCAGAGCATAGCATTCCTCCTCCCATTCATTTTTTAAACAGTAAATTTAATGCTTGTGAAAGGTGACTGATCAAAAGCACTATGTCCCATGCAAGAAAAACTTCAGACAAAAGTGTAGCAGAAGTAACATCGTATACGCACTGGCTTCAAATTTACCCGTGTCTAGTGCTATCACTGTTCATTCATATCCTTTACTTCTTCACAGAGGCTTAAAATAAGGATGCCAACTATGTTACGAACATTTGTGATATGGACAGATACTCAAAGAGAAATAGACTGATGCTATCATATTTCAAAATACGACTGGAAGTGTTAATGACTTTCAGAAAACACTGAGCTCAGTAGGACTCATAGAGATGACCTAGGGGAAAACTGCTCTGTACCCTCGTAATTACTAAATCCGTTTGCCATGCTCCCTTTGGGAAGGAAACCTCCGCCCCGCCAACTTAATTTCCAGCATACCAGATCCCTAGCTTCTAGAAATAGACAGCCATCAAAGAACAGCCCTGAATGGTTATTTTAAATAAACACCTCCTTACTAATGTAAGATAAATGGCACATATACCATCACCACATTTCTACCATTCATACAAATTACTTCTAAACAACCTGTAAGAGCAGTATTAAAATTCACTGTCCATGAAACAGCAATTTCATTTAATCATTGCTATAGTAATTTTTGAGCTAAGCTTTCATGCTAAGTGCCCTCTCACCACTGAGCCAAACAAACCTTCTTTAAGGAAGTAACCTAGCAAGTTCTGCATTTTTATAAATACAATCCCGTTCAGAGATCTGTTCCAAAGAGCTCCATTCAAATTCTTTTACACACAAGAATAAAAGCTTGTACAATTTCCTACTCCTTGCTTTCAGGGAGCTCCTATCTGGCATTTCAGTTCAAACCTCTGCAACTCAAGAAACAAAATACGGAAGATTTAATCACATAAACCTCATCGTGGCCCGCCCACTTTTTTTTTTTTTTTTTTTTAAATAGTACTGGAAATCTGATCATCCAAAATTTGCCAGCCTGCCAAAATAATATGTTTACACGGCAGTCTCCTCACACATTCCAACTGGAATATTATAATGTCTGTCATCTTCAGTTATAAGAGTCACTACAGGCCAGTCTTCCTCTGGGTCATTGGGATAATGTGTGATGAATTCATCAGTGCTGTATTTATATAGTCTATAAACTTTGATGGTATGTCGCAGAGCATATGCAAGAAGAAACATTTCCACCTAGGTTTAAAAAAAAAAAAAAAAAAAAAAAAAAAAAAAAAATCAGTTAGGATGAAATATATAGCACCAACTGAATTTTATCGTTGCACATAAAAATATTATTTTGTATCAAATTCAGCAGAAAGACAGCAACACTAAGGACACTTGAATGAAGAATAAAGGACAGAGAGATGTTACGATTTAGGCCTCCCTTGCACAGAAAAGTACAATGAAGCCCCATCCTGTCAAAAAGCAATTCTTAGTGCTCAGGTAATTGACTCAGTACACAGGTAATTGACTCAGTCTGCTCATTATACATTATGGCCAAAAAGTTTGAACCTGAGTGTTTAAGGCATTCAAATATCTGAAAATCAAGGCACTTCATTTCTAATGACATGGATGCCTAGAGCCCTTGAAAGAAATATACTTAATTATGTGCCTAATTCTGGACATAAGATAGAAAGTTCTAGACCTACACATTTTTTGTATAGAAGCTATCAGATATGTAATACTCATTTACTTCATTACACCTGCCTGCCTCTTCAACTGCATAAATGTAAACATGTGCTGGTAAGGACCACTACATGTGCTCCAAGGCTAAGTATAAACAGTCAAAAAGACCAAGGCTGAAACAATTCAATCTTCACAGGTTAGTCTAAGCTTCATAGATTGAACCGATATGCAAGTGAACAGACATTCACTTTTGATTCCAGAAATACACCCATATATGGCTCAGGCCAGAAACTGGGGGGCACTAGAGCACATCTCCCTGCTTGGCTGGAGCAGACAGCTTGGACAAAAGCTAGTCTGCCTACCCTGTGTGGGAGAGTTTGGGGGCAGATGCAAAGCTTCCTGGGATGCTGCAGGACTGCAACTTGACTTGATTCTGGAGAGGATCTGAAACAGAAGTTCAATAAACCAACTTAACTTAAATCACTTAAGTCTGATACTACATCCATCCAGGTTCATCTTAAATCGATTTCAGCCATTTTGAAAGTAGTTTATGAGCACTAAACTTCTGCTGCGTTACAGATCTGAATAACTGCTCTGGAGGGCAAAACACTTCTCAAAACAATGGAGAACAGATGCAAGTGGGGCTATGTTATTGCACAGTCAGGCAGGCATCCACTCAAATCCACACCCGAAATAATTCTGCCAGCTGGAACAAGGATAATGGTAGCACACATGTCCAATGCAGGGCAGGGCCATGATTCTTCCTCTCCATTTTGTAGCAATCAACACGAGCAGCAGCACCAGCCTGTTGCGTGCATGAATGTTAGGAAAACAAGGAAGTTTCCTTTCCCTCTCACATTTGCCTTATGCATTCTCACAGGACTGGGCATGCCCTGCTTTAGCTAGTAATTTACTTTAAGAACAGTCTTACATCAATAGAATAAGCTACTAGGTAAAGTACTACTAGGTATAAAAGGGTAACAACATTTTGCCCCAAGAGAAAAGTCACTAAATCAAATTATGCAACGGTTGAGTGCCATCTTAACAGTCAACTAATAAATCTGCAGTGCTGAGTTCTGCTATCATATAGGCCCACAAAAATGTAATCACAGAAGTCAAACAGGGGCAGGACCTGGCCCTTTGATGTTACCAGTTAACAAGTGTAAAGTTAGGTGCTGCATTTAAGACTTCTTTCCTGTAACCATGCGGCAGGCAAATATTTCGGCTGGAGGAACACTTAACGAGTTCTGGTGAGCTGTTGAGGGTCACAAGGGTAGTTCCACTGCTTGACATGCCCTGCCCCCTGGCTGCCACCTTGGGACCACAAGTTCTGCCCTTAACCCAACCTTTGCAACTGGAAGTACTCTTTTTGGGAGGGGAGTGTGACATCTCGGAACTGGAAAAAAAATCAAATCGCATACTAAAAATCAAACACCTACTGTAACATATTTTAATTTTGTTTAAAAATATATTTTTGTCCTCATTTGTGTGTGTTTGCAGAGTGTATAGAGGAGACTGCATAATAGCTCAAAACACAGTCTTACTCTTGTGTACTGTGTTTCTGTGGGGGAGCGTGTGGGGTGTGTGGTGTGTGTGAGGGTATGTGTGCAGCACCAGCAGGTGGCAAGCCTCCAGGATGCTCATGGCCCGCAGTAGGCAGAGCCTCCCAGCAGCAGACAGCTCTGACCAAGTCCCAGGAGGTACACATGGTAGCAGGGTGCAGGGCCAGGCACAGCGTTCTCTGTGACTCATGGGCAGCTCCTGGGACTTGGCCAGAGCCATGCACCGCTGGAGTGAGCTCCATGCGATGGAGCTAGAAGCCTGGCCCTGCTTCCTGCCACCAGATGCAGATCCCATGACTTGGCTAGGGTTGCAGGGAGCAGGGATGAGCCAGCCGTGCTCCATCGCACAGGGCTCCCTGCCACACCCAGCTGAATCCTGGGAGCTACATGTGTTACCTGTCAGCTCTGTGTTTCTGAGGGAGCCCTGGCACCCAGCTTGCTGGACTTGCAAAGGACTTTTTCTATTCCCTCCTGCCCACACACACACCTCATCTACCCAGAATTAAGCAGAAGAAAAGTTTAATAGGCATCTCAGGCTGTACATTCCCCAGTCCCACTATGGGAGGCCTATTTAAACTTGATTGACTAAAACTCAGTTGCCAGGTTAGGGAATGCTGAGGCAAAGAGACCAAGTCAGAGGGGGTATGGGCAACATTTGAACAATGGTAAAGGGTTCTTCACAGCGTCCAGCCCATTGGAGCCTGAACCACAAATGCTGTCATACTTTTCCCGGGATGACTGGTGGAAGTCCTCCCCACAAAGTTTATGAACACTCCAAGTAATCCCCTTAAGTCTGTTAAAAGACTACAGTAAAATCTGAAAGTCATGCTAAGCTGAGGCTTATTCACAACAGGTAAAATACAAAGCACTGATGCCAACTTAACAGTGCAAGCATAGCTAGGCCACCTAAGAAGAAACAATGTGGTATCCCTTCCAGTATATCTTCTATATTCATAATAATTTCAAGCTGGCTCCTAGGTGTCTGGTTACTCCATAAAACTTGATGTTTGTCCTGGTTGTTAATCAGTTTCTTGAGATGTTCCAAACCAGATAACCCCTTGTCACTGAAAAAGGGAATTCATTTAAATTTCAACTGTTTACATAACAGGATTTTCCCTGTCAATTATGGCTTGGGACCCTCTTGATTTACACAACTAAAAGAATGTTTTGAAGATACTAGGCTAATGGTATAAGAAAGCTGTAAAGCAGCAAACAGTGTGCTTCAAGAGAGAGAAATCTCTCTGACACCATCCACTGTTGTTCTCGAGAAGCTGAGAGAAACAGATAGTCTCCCTTCAACAATCGTGGTGGAAACTTTGCTTGTCAGCAAATCACTCGAGTGCCTTGGAATGGTGAGAGCCCAGCTCTCGCTCTCTCTGTCTTTCTCCCTCTCTCTCTCTAGGCATAGCTTTTTGAACCTAAATTGTATTAGTTAAGCTTGAGCTAGGTTTCCCCAAATACACAATTAAACCAGGGTAATTTTGTAATTATTTTGTTTGTTTTTCCTTGCCTGTCTATTACTACTAGTACCATTATAAATGTCATATACTTAGCAATAAAAAACTTTTATAGTCAAACTGGCGGTAACCAGGTGCATTTTTCCTTCTCTACTTCCCTTTCCCATTTGCTCTGCAGCAACGCTTCTTTTACCTAAGCCAAAGATACTTGTGAAGCCCAGAAATACTGTGGGGTCCACTCATCAAGAGGCTACCACTAGGACAGTTAGGGCAAAAGATTGGGACGTGCTGAGTTTGAAACACATAAGGGGATCAGCTTGGAAAGGCTGACTGACCCAGTTTGGCTCAGACGTGCCCTAATGAACTGAATACTGGCCCAAGAGGGCGTCAGCTGGACACCCAGCTGGATTCAGAGGTATTCTGTTCACTTGTGTGCTCGTGTCTGACTTCATTTTATTGTTACCTTAACAAACTGATTTGTAGCATAAGGGTGTCAGTCTGTACATGCTGATCAACCCAGCCAGGTTGGGGGGGGGGGTGCGCATGATTTGGGGGCTGGAGGTACCCAGCCCCACTGAAACCGAGTCCTGCAAGATAGCTCCATTGGGGGTGAGGGCTTGCAGAAGGGAGAGATACAGCTCCGTATAGAAACACGAGTAACACAAGCAGCACATTGATAGAATTACAAAGACCTTAGAAACGTGAGCACACCCCAAAGTAACGGGCATATCTAGTAACACATGTGGTGGCCAGGAGCGGGAACAGGCTGCTGGCTCCATCATGCAGGGCTCCCCCTTGAGTCGTTCGGCTCCGGCCAAGTCCCAGGAATTGCACGTGAGCTGCAAAGGAGCCCCATGCTCCCATCAACACGGGCTCCACACTACCACTTCTCTATCCTGGTCCTTCCAGTCCTAGCCCCAGTGTGGGTCCTATGCTCCCGCCCAGTTGCAGCTTCCTCCTGCCTGCTGCCACTTCCCTACCTGCTCCCGAGTGCTGCAGCAGGGACAGGAGGAGCCAAGCAGTTCCTTGGGTGGCTGCAGCAGCCGCTCCCGGAGGCTATGCGCACTGGCCAGAACCAGGGCCCTCCCACAGGCAAGGGTGGGAGTGCAGAGTGCTGCCCCAGTGGGATTGGGCAGGGCTCAGCTCCATGAGGAATGCAGCAGGGGCAGCTGTAAGCTAGGCTGGATACTATTAAATGGTGGGTGCCTGCCTGCAGGCCAGATGAAAATCACCTGACAGGCCAGACCCAGCCTGTGGACCATACTTTGTCCACCCCTGCTATAACCACATCCACAAGATTTTAGGAACCCTGTTATCCTGACACAGAATTTCTTATTTTTACGTTAATGTTTCTGCCACATTTCACTTCAATATCCCCATTAACCACTGTATAAGTGTTTGTGAAATACCTACTGCATCATTATTCATTCCAGTATCTGCAATTCCAAATTCAAATTAAATAATTTTTCAGATGAACACTAGTAAAAATGTTTTATCAGGATTTATTTAGTAGTGCTCTATACATGGTTGCCTTCTGTACTTTATTTGATATTGCAAGTACAGATATTTTTATCTGTGTATGGATATTTAAAAGAAATTAAAAAATAATGGTCCAATCACATACAATCTGATCATACAAAAAGATTAAACCTAATCCTTCATTTACTTTAGTAAAAGTTCCATACTTATAAAAATAAAAAGGAACACCTGTTTTTATTGTGGAGTCCCAGGCCACAGAAAACTGTTTATCATTAAGATCTTGTCTTGCTCTTAATTACGGTCATGTACAAACATTCAGTTTCTACCAGGAGAATTGCTGTTCTCCTACTAGAAACCAAGAAAGTGCAGATGTTCAAGCTTTTTCTCCTGGAGCTAAAATAGCAACGCTAGGAGAAAAATAACCCAACAGCAAGGTGGAAATTGCTCCTTGGAGACTGAATGTCCACACACTTTTCCATGACTTACTTGCTCCTGGGGACCAGGAGAAACGGAGCAGAAGGAAAGGCTCTCCCCATGCATTTCAGAGACAGGGGTCTGCAGGTTGTGTGGAGAGGCAGCTGCTTCTACCACTCCTATTGACCAAGGGATGAGGGGAGAAGCATCCACCAAGTGCTCTCCACCTGCTCTGGAGTTCCCAGTGTCATAAGCAAACAGGGGCTTTGCTGCACTACTCCCTTTTGGCAATGGGAACCAAGCATACAATATGGCATAACCCCCTATTTACTTCTGAAATCAGAGTCCCTGATGTTAGATGCAGGCAAGGGCTTTGTCCTGCTGCTCCAGTCACCCCTGGGAGTAGGAAGATTCAAATAGCCAAATGCTTTCCCCAGACCAGGATCACCCTGATCTTGGGAAGGCACAAGGAGCAGGGGAGAGGGGGCAGATCCAGGCTGAATATCTGCACTGGTCTCTCTCTCAGAATCATTTCCAGAATCATTGGAAAGTTTCCACCACTAGAACTGAAGGTTTGTACACAGCTTATATCACTTCTAGCTTTTACAAAGCATCCAGCTACATAAATACATTTATTAAGGCTACTAAAGCTTGGCCAATTACTCATTTCAGGAGATATTCTGATACACCTGCCAGAGTGGGACAGCACAAGGAAATAGAAAGCTACAAAATATATCATAAAGCTACCAAATATACGATAAACACAAAGAGTTCTTACCTGTTCCAGGCCTCCAGTGTGACCAATGTGATTCAAGTGATTATTCATTAATTGCTTAGGATTGCTGGATGTATCCCGAGCAAACAATAGCCATGAGAACACAGGTACATTCTTTCCTTCTTTATTATCATTGTATAATTCAATGGCTGTATTCAGCATCAAAAATTTCACGGCTTCATAAAGGCAATATTCCTCCTCTTCGTTTTTAAACAATTCATTGCAAGCACCTTGCTTCTCCATGGGTGTCTTCATTTCACTTACACTCTTCCACTATAAAAAAAACAATATACAAGTCACAAATACAGGAAATCACCATTATCATTCACAACTGCAGAAAAAAAGAATCACATCCTTCTCTCAGGCAGGTAGCCATACATTTTATGAAAGGCTCTCTTGTTCCCATTTTCATATGTGCATTTATTTTAAATGTTTCCATAATTTTAGCTGCCGCTAGCATAGGCAGAGGGAGAAAAAATATTGGGGGGGCTGCAAGCGCCCATGCCCCCCACAAAGTCTGCAAGGGAAGGGTCAGGGAGGGAGTGGGGAAGGTGTAAGGCTGGGGCTGGGACCAGGGCAGGGACCAGGCCCACTGCACCTGTGCAGCCGCCCCTTCCCCTGTGCCAGGGGTCATTGTCTGGCACCAGTGTCCACTGCCCCCCAGCCCCGCATCCTCCCTGGTTGCCTCTCCACACCAGCCCCAGCCCTCAAGTGGGGCCAGCCTCGACTGCCCCCATTCAGCAAGAATGGGGCCCTGGATGGGCCAGGCTGTGGGGCTATCAGAGCCCAGCGGCTCATCCAGGGGTACAGCACTGGAGAGCCAGGGGAAGAGGAACATACCTCCCCCTCCCCTGCAGCGCATGCAGCAGTGGGAGCTGCCTGCCCACGCCCCTGGACAAGCCGCCAGGCTCCCACTGCCTCACAACCCAGCCTGGCTGGGGCCCCAAATCCCCATGAATGGGGCTCCAGCCGGGCTGGGTCATGGGGCAACCCCCACAGTGCAGCAGGGAGTGGGACAGGGGTGAATGATTTGCCCCTGCCCCTGCTCCATTCCCTCCTGCACTGTGGGGGTCTCGATCTGCTTCCCCCAAACCCAGGCAGTGAAAAGAAACTTAAAGGCTTGCAGGGTCAGCCGTGATCCCGGCGCCTCCCCCCCCCTACTGCAGCCAGGCTGCCCTGGAGTTTGAGCCCCGTTAGCCTCCGCCCCCTTCCACCACCTATGGCTGCTAGTGTGAAGTTGATCACTCATTTTTCAAACAAGCACTGAAGCATTTTGCGGTGACAATCAAGACATGAAGACAATCAAGAAATGAAGACACCCATTTTTCTACAAGCAGAAAAATACGGAGAAAGAAGGAAAAACAGGAAAGGGAGGAGACTTAAAGGGGAAAGACACTGCACAGGAAACAGTGGCTGCAATATCAATGATTTCACTGGCTACAATATCAATGATTTTTGTGTTCACTGCAGCCAAAATTCCTACAATGCTGTAGGTATTTTGCTAACATTTTTTATTTTGCTTTTTCTAATTAAAGTCCTATAAAACAGTCAAACTTTAGCTTTTAAAAGAAGTAAATTTGTGCCTAATTGAAATGTTTAAAATAAAAAATAAGTATTTGCATAGAAGTGAATTTACACAAAAATTGGACAATTAAAAACACTGTATTAGTAGTTTTTACAGTACAGTACTAAAAAAAGATCAAGTGCTATCTTTAAAAAAAAAAAAGAAAAGAAAAAAAGTACCCCTGGCAGCTAGGACCCCCCCACCCCCTCCTCCAGCAGGGCTGGGGGAACAGGGGCTGTAGGTAGGGAGTAAAGGGCACCAGCAGGGCCCGGGGTGGGTGGGAGGGGGAACTTGTGGAAGGGCTTTTAATTTTAAATAATGGATTTGGGGGGTTTTAGGAGAGGATTTGTGATTTTTTTAACAACCTGGGAAAGCCGGATCCCTGCTAATCATTATTCAATCATTACTTCCACTCATCCGTTACCCTACTGCCTTAAGCCCTAGAAGGGTTTATTTGCTAGAGAACAAGCTCATCTGCCCAACAAACATCATAACTGAAACAGAAAATATAAAGATGACAAAGTAGTAAGAGAGTAAATATAAGACTCTGTATTCATATTTTTTAAAAACCTGATAGCAAGCTAACAGACTTATGCACCTACATCTGAACCAGCTAATTTACAATGAAACAAACAGAAGTTGTCAAAGTTGTCATTTATCTACTTCCCCCCACCCCCATCCTGTATTCAAGAATTATTCCTCCCACTTGATCACACTTTTTCAGTATCTTAAATATATAGCGTACAGCACCTCATCCCAAAGGCTTTTTTCCTAAACATGATACATGCTAGTATATACATGCAGGAATTCCTTTACCACTCAGTGGTTAAGTAGAGAGCCAACACAGTGACTCTTTAAGGGAGTGAATACTACATAAGGATGTCCACATGAAGTTTTATGTTCACTAGCACAGGGCTTTTAACTGTCTTTGTTTCACCCAAAGGCGCATAGAGGTCTTTCCCAAACAAGAGCTCTTGCCTGAAACACAATTAATTTACCTCAGTCAGATGACAAAAGTCATTCTGGAAAGGGTATCGTAGCACTAGTAAGTACTACCACATTCCATGTCATAGCAATGAACTTATGAAATACTGATTACATGTAAATGATACCACATTAATTGCATGCAGTCTCCTTCACTATTATTATTATTATGCCTACTCATCAAATTGTTCAAGAAACTAATGATATCCTCTCGTTTTGCCTATACTCTAAAGCAGCAGTTGGCAGTATTTTCCATGGCAGGTCAGAATGATCCAGTTCAGATCAGAGAAGCACCAGCACTAGCATCTGACAACTGCTTCCAAGCTACAATGTGACATGGGCAAGTGCAGTGCAGTGCTGGTAAAGCCCTCTACTACTGAATACTACAGAGTCCTGCAGGCCAGATCCAATTGCTCTGGTGGCCAGGTCTCGCCCACAGGTCATGGGTTACCAATCCCTCCCCCAAAACTAAGTAGTACTAAGTACTAACATTAGAGGTGAAATCTCCAGTACTCACTTAAGAAAGAGGAAACTATTGTATTTTTTTTAGTTCTCTCAGCTCTTCAAAGATTTTTACCGTTAATTTGTGTCAAATTCTGTATGTTCTCTAACTGATTATAGCTACCTCCCCTAATATACTTTTTTATACTAGAAATTATGTTGAACAAGATTTCTCTGTGGACACTGACTTGGATTAAAGGAACATTGCTGATAGAAGATTCATATTGGTCTGAGTAAATTTTGAGGGATTGGAGATATTTTTTAAATGTTAAATTTGTGATTTAGTAAGTTGGATTTGTTAATAAATAAAGTTTAAAAAATGATGTTGAATTAGTGGAATGCTAGACACGCTTATTTGCAAATCAGGAGAGAATAAGTACATAATTTTCCAAACCTTCTTCCTTAGTAGTCCTAAATATTCCTTAATTTCATCACCAATTTCTCTCATCTTTCTCCCCAGTTTTCCTCTGTGCTGCCAGTCTTTGATCCAGTCATATTTGCTCAGCAGCTTTTCAGGAAGCTACAAAGTTAAGAGGGTAAAAAAAATACAGCAGTTAATAAATCAGAAAAAAATGGAAATAAAATCCTCTCTCATATCTGTGACATTTACTCAGATATTTATATGTATAGTTGCTCATAGTTTTACCATCATCTATTCTTCATAAGAGCCATCCTGTGCAAAGGATACTAAGTTTTTTTTAAAAACAAGACAACCCCCCTTATCCCTACTTCTGCCCACTAACATGGCTTTTTGCACCAATAACTGAATAGGGAGATCAGTTAATTACCAGTCCCCGATGCAGCTAAATATCTTTTCCCACTACAAAAGAAGTGGCTTTTTTGCTGGATCATTACAGACTCTGCCAGACTTATCACATCTGATAGAAACAGAGTATTTAAACCACCTAATAAACTGAAGTCAAGGTCATGTTCCTTGTGAACATGACTATTTTATGGTTTGCAGCATTCTTGAAATATGAGAAAATTATATTATTTTGTCATTTTCTAAAAATGAAAAGTCATCTTAACTTTATCCTTTATATGTAGGCCTTTATACCCTACTTACATTTATATGGTTGCTTAAAACTTTGCTATCAGCACAACTTACACGCTTCTTGAGGGTTATAAAGAAGAACCAAAAATCTGTAATGACTTTATCGTGCATCAGCAGATGCATGACGAATAGATTCAAGGAGGTGATACTTCCCCTCTATCGGGCGCTGGTCAGACCGCAGTTGGAGTACTGCGTGCAATTCTGGGCACCGCACTTCAAGAGGGATGCGGATAACCTGGAGAGGGTCCAGAGAAGGGCCACTCGTATGGTTAAGGGCTTGCAGGCCAAGCCCTATGAGGAGAGACTAGAGAACCTGGACCTTTTCAGCCTCCGCAAGAGAAGGTTGAGAGGTGACCTTGTGGCTGCCTATAAGTTCATCACGGGGGCACAGAAGGGAACTGGTGAGGTTTTATTCACCAAGGCGCCCCTGGGGGTTACAAGAAATAATGGCCACAAGCTAGCAGAGAGCAGATTTAGACTGGACATTAGGAAGAACTTCTTCACAGTTAGAGTGGCCAGGGTCTGGAACGGGCTCCCAAGGGAGGTGGTGCTCTCCCCTACCCTGGGGGTCTTCAAGAGGAGGTTAGATAGGCATCTAGCTGGGGTCATCTAGTCCCAGCACTCTTTCCTACCTATGCAGGGGGTCGGACTCGATGATCTATTGCGGTCCCTTCCGACCCTAACATCTATGAATCTATGACTGCATAATAAAGTACTAATTTACTAAAAAAATCATGCTCTGAAAATCTGATTTTGTAGGCAGTATCCAGCAGCTGTGTCCAACATTTTCCTTGAAGGAAATAAAAAGGGCTAATCATTCACCAGATTGACCACATATCCTTGCTATTTAATAAAATATAAATTTTGCCAAAAGAATGCAGGCACCAACTATTTTTAACCTTTTCTAGTTAAACTGTAACAATAGGGAGCAATACCTATTGGAAAACAAATGTGTGTGAGAAGAGGTACTAACACGAAAGGACGCCGGAGTGGAGAAAACAATCAAGCCGGGAGAGCAGAGATTCAGGAGCAGCTGCTCCCTGCGTATAAAAGAGCCCGAGGGTGGGACCACGCGGCAGGGAGGAGGAGGTGAGAGCGGGAGGCGTTTCCTCCAGGAGAGAGAACAGGGAGAAGATTGTGGAGTTGGGGTGATTCCGGAGGGCGGTCCAGAGTGGCAGAGAGAGCTGGACGAAGAAAAGGAGCTCGGTGGCTCCAGAGGACGTGAGTGAACTTCAATAGGATTGCACCAAAGAAAAATAGAGGTGCAGGAAGCAGAGAAGCTGCGAGAAATAGAGGCGGGGGCAGGTGCTCTGGAAAAAAAAAAAAAAGAAGAAAAAAAAAAGGAAAAACAGAAAGTAAGAAAGGAAAGACAACAAACACATTGGGAAGCCTTGGCTTTGATTTTGATTTTTTTTGAGTTATTGACTGTTCCTCAGGAGTGTTTGAGGATAAAACGAGGAGGAGCACATGAAAACCTACAAAAATAAAGGGAAAATAGCGTTAAAAACGAAAATTTTGGGACAATTTGAGACACGGCTCCAAAAGTTAGTTTGACTAAGCTGTATATCAATAAAGAAAAGGATGCCCCGAAGGTGTTTATGATAAACTAAAATTTTTGTAAAACAAAAAATATATAATAGTCTTGTAATAGTTGAATGTGTGAAGGAATACAAAGGACAATAAAGAGAATTGTTTGACTACAGCAGACTGTGGTTTATTAACTTAAATCTGTGCATTGGGTAAAAAAAGACAGCGGAAAGGTGTCCACTGATAAAAATGGTTAGAGATTGTAAGTAGCCTACTGTGGCAAATAATACCTCCCAATTAATAACATCAAAAATCCATCAAGATGTGGCAGGTGAGAGTCGGAATTGATGCAGGAGGTGATAGCCAAGGCAATCCGAGCAACCATCACAATGTGCTATCAGGATCTTAGTATTTTACTGCAGAGTTAATGAATATATCACAATACATCTGAACAAGGGAACAGCCTATTCATTAATATTCTTAGGGTAGCAGCCATCAGCTTTTAAATGTTTTTGCAGAGTATCCTATAATTCCAGTCCTGCTACTACTTGTACATCCAATTATTTCACAGTACTTTAATAATCTAATTCTCTATTGGAAATTGACTTAATATAAATAACTTGCACTTGACCGTTGATAAATTGTTTGGAACAGAGATAATTACTAGGCCTGTGCGAAGCAGCAAGTATTCAATTTGGATTCAGACGGACAGTGATTCGATTCGGTGATATAAGGCACTGTCCCGATTCGATTCAGCCAATTCAGATTTGGAGCCGATACAGAGATTCGGCCATAGACCATAATGGGGAATTACTAAAATACCTATAATTTTGTTACCTAAAATATCAACCTCCTAGATACAAAACTTCATGGACTCAATATAGATATTTAATTTATGACACACTATAACCTACCTGACATCTGACTCCCCAAGTACCTCTCCACTTTTACCTGCTACATTCCCCCACCCCCGCCTCAATTTACATTTTCACTGATGGGCTTTCTTGCCTGCATACCAGCCTCTGGCTTCTTTAATATTTATTCCATCCAGGAAGAGCACACACACACACACACCAACTGCAGACGCTTCCTCGGCCTGACTCAGGGTTTTTAAACCCAAAAGCTTGCTAAGATACATTTATTTCTCCAACTATTCAGTTGGTCTAATAAAAGATATCAGATTGACCAAAAGAACCGTGTCTGCCTTCTGTGTGTTAAGGCAGAGTGGAATGAATGCAGCAAGGATGGTAGCCTATAACAGAGGGCCTTCCCAGTGCTCGGCCCACCCAGCTGTTTCTGGGCCAACCGCCCACCCTTCTTTTTCCTACCATGCCTTGATGGAAAACTGATTCAGATGTTTCCCAGGTGGGAGGCTGCCCATTTAGGCCCCTATCTAGGGGTGACATCCATTTCACAGCTCCATACCTCCCCTACACTGCGGCCCATGCCTTGCAGATTGCATCCTTCACTCCCTCCAGCAGTGGTCACCTCTCTGGGACTTCTGGCTCCCCCTTAGGCCCTGGCCCTGCCTTCAGGTCAGTCGGAATCCCAAGCCTCTTGCTCCGAGCATTCCTTGCGGTGGGCCCCTGACCCTTTGACCCTCGGTTGGGTCCTGGCCCCAGCATGGACCAGTCCAGGGTACCTCAAGTCAGATCTGAGCCACCTGTCTGTTCTCACCCTCACAACTTAACTGCAACCAGTAAGCCTCAGGCCTTTCAAAGATCTTATGGATCTGAGCTTTCCCCAGCCAGGACTGTGTGCCTTGCGGTGGCTGGAGGTTGGTTATCAGGCACCCCCTAACCGCTTTTCACCAGGGAGGTTTGTGGACCTGCATTTCCTGGGGCTGCTGTGCCACCAGCAGTCCCACCAGGCCTCCCTACCCTGGCAGGGTGCAGTTTTAGGTCATGTCCAGGACCTGGGGCCTCCTCCCTCCCTCCCCATAGCTCGTCCATACCTCCAAGTTCGTCCTGGCACAGGAGCTTAGCAGGGAGATGTTCTTTCCCTGCTGGCTGATGAGAAGCTAAACTGCCACTTCCAGCTCGGGGCCGTGGGGGGGGGGGGGCATTAAATGTTTCTGAAAGCATATTTAAAAAGCAAATAGGTGCTGAGTGAGGAGAGTGGCACTCATTCCATCTGCACGTGGAGCTTGGGGAACCTCAGCAGCGGGAGGTTCCTCTTCAAGAAAACCAGCTGCTCCACCAACCCAGAATCCAGGGAGCTGTGGTGGGGTGTCACAACATCACCAGCAATGCCAAAAACCCTCCCGCTTGGAATGCTGGTTGGTGGACAGGACAGGTGTTCCCGGGCAACCGTGGCCAGATCCTGCCACATCTGGCTGCAGGTTGCCCAGTAGGCCAAAGGTCGCAATGCAGCGGCTCCACGTCCTTGACGAGATAGGTAGTCACCGAGGCCTCCACGCTACCTGCCTGATGGTGGGGTCTGGTGTCTATGAACCCCAATATTGAAGCCATGTCCTTGGCCCAAATTGGCAGTGGCTGTGGTGAAGACTGGCTCATGGCTGGAGTGCTGGCATGGGAAAGTGGATCTCCCTTTTCCTCATCCCCCTGCCTCTGCACTTCTGCCTCCCTGACTGTTCACCAACACCTCCATCCAGTGACCGAGGGTTTTGCTGTTGCAGACACTCCCCTTCACCCTTGGGTCGCACATGCCAGCCAGCACGTGGACCATACTGGACCACAATGGATCCAGCCATTTTTTGATGCGCTCCTTCAGCCACTTCACCAGTGCCTGCACCTCTGGTAAAAGCGGCTTGCCTCAGCCAGGAACATCAATACCCTGGAACTTCTCCATTTGCTTATCAAGCTTCTTCATTATGGGGATCACCTGGCTAAGAAGGGCATTGCCAGCATTGAGGCTCTTGGTGGCCTCAAGAAAGGGCTTGATGACCACCAAGATCTGGGCGATGGTATCCCACACCG